TTTTTTTTTTTTTTTTTTTTTTTTTAATCATTGCCTGTAGCTCCAGCCAAACCGTCAACACAGTTTTTTTTGTTTTTTTTAGCTTCAGGTAGAGTAGGGAGTGAACAAAAACTCTATTAGATTGTGTCCTCATTGGGGAGATTTGCTTTCACTTCTTGTCCCAGAGACATGACAGGAAGTTTAAGTAAATCTCCCTAACTTGAGTAAATTCCATTTTTAACATGGTGAGTCTCCGTTGCAGTTTGCAAACCACAAAACCTTACAAAGGTTTTAACCTTTCTCCACTCTACCCAATAAAATTATCTTATACTTATTGTTTTATAACCAGTTGAACTTTTTGGTACCAGCACATTTACCCCAGGTGCAAAAATATAGTTGTTGCCTATTCACTGGCTTCCATGGTAACTGAGTGCAAAACTTTCAAATATTACATTCTTTCTGTATGTAATCTAAAACCAGATAAGCACTTCCTGTTTACTCTTGGCAGCATAGGAGACTTCCTGCACCCATCCAGCTTTACACCCTAAGCGAGCATGCTCAGGGTTAAACTCCCTCTTGCTGACCGCTTTTGCAGAAGAGCACTTCCTGTTACCCGTCAAAACAAACAAACGTGTTTTTCTGCACATATTCAGCTATACACCCTCCGTGCACTTGCACCACCTACCTCTCGCTTTTCCTCCTTGGTATGTCACTTTCCCACCCTGTGTTCACTTTTGCAATGTTAGTCTTCTGATGTGGGGCTACTAATTTCAGTCAGAACACAAGAATTTACAATACTACTTATTCCTGTTGTTCTAAGAACAGCATGGCCTAGTTACTACTTCTACCTTTTTTGTGTAGCAGTGATGTTCTTCTTGCATGTAATGCATTGATATGTGCGTGTGGCAGATTTATCTGCATGGTGTTGACTGAGGCCTCGCAGAATATGGTGGTTTGGCTGCAACATACAGGAAGTGAGGGCAAATTTGCTTTACAAAGATGGAGGTCTGCACAGTCACAAATCATTATTTAGGTAGATCTTGTTTTACAGGCAAAGAATTTGAATGTATTTGGTTACGATTGCTGTACACATACAAGTGAGCATTCTATTGTCTTTTGTTTGCTGTGTCAGTATCTTGCAGTGAGTATCTATTCGCCTCATTCACACACCGGAACAAGAGCATATTTATGTACATTTTTTTTTTGTGTGTTTTTTAAGTTTTGGAAATAAGTCACCAGCACTCCACGAATTAAAATGAATAAGTCCTTTTAATGGACAATGATGTCACAGAAATCCAACATGAGCCGACGTTTCGGGGCCACGCAGGGTCCCTTCTTCAAGGCAATAGATGTGACCTCTTAAGTTTTTTTAGATGTTTTTTTGTTTGAGCCACTGAAAAGCTACTTGCTAGGAGGAGAATGCATGGTTTCCATGCACTCCGTTGAAGTCTATGGGGCCATAAATGCTTGATTTTGCCCCCAACAAGCTCTACTTTTTTTGCACAGTAGGTGTCAAAATAAGAGTGACACAATGCTTGAGTGTGACTGGCCACAACTGAAGAATGGGATTCTATATGTTGAGCATTATTGCACATCAAGAAATAAGCATCAATACCCTCGCATGTGAATATGGCTTTAAGGGAACCTTATGTCAGCACTTATAAAGTAATTCCACTTTGGGGAAAAAAACAATCCTGTCTGGGTGATCTGTGTATGTTGCAAGGATTTTAACCAACTTTGTTGCAGTTTCCTTCCTGTTTCTGTTCTGAAGAAAAAGCTGTTTGTTGCAACATGTCCTTTTCAAACTGATCCCTGAATGGGAGGGTCACCTCTCATTATAACCTGCTGGTGAACCTTCTGTGTTGTAATGAGGAAAGGTGCAGTGTCGGCATCACTTTTGTATTAATTGGGGAGTATATCGACAACAATTCCTATTGCAAGGAATGCCTCAAATGATACTTATATCTTGGTGCAGGCTTTTGGAAAAATCAGTCAGCCAATCACAGAAGCAGGAAGTGACATTTCTGGGGGCATTCCATACACTAAGTGTGTACGGAACGTCTCCAGGTCGCCATATTGCAGTACAGCCGCTACAGTTTTGAATGGATAAGTAATTGTTAATAACACTAAATTACAAAATGGCACCGTTATATAGGCTATGCTCATTTTTTACATTTCTTTATTACTTTTACCTTTTTGAAAGTGGAGTTACTATTTAAGTGTTTAAAACTTGCATGAGCCAGTAAAAAATATTGAAAACCTTTTTAAGCATTGAGAGGGCTGCACAACTATTATTATGACATGCATAGCTCTGTAGTGTTGTAGCTGTAGGGCTTTGGATATATAGAGAATGACGCTGTAAGACTAGATCTGCAGAATTGATGCAGCCATTGATAATTATTTAAGTCCATTCTGCATTATCCATTTTAACGGTGGTGCAGCCATTGTATTTTGTCTCTCGCTCTGTTTCCAAAGGCTTACAAACACATTGAGAGGAATTTACTAAGACTGGAGCAGAAAAAATCTGGAGCAGTCGTGCACGGCAGCCAATCAGCTTCTATCTTTCATTTTCAAAGCTTAACTAAACAAGCTAAAGATAGAAGCTGGTTGGTTGCAATGCACAGCTGCTTAATGGTGCTCTATATATTTAAAGAAAATGCACCATTCAGATTTCTACTTTCCTGGAAAGGCTAGTGATAAATTTTGTTAAAAGATGTGCAGGGATATACTGTATGTGCCATGGTTAAAATAAAACAAAAGAAGAATGCTGCAACACATTTCAACGTTGGGTATCTAAATTACAGACAACTAATCTGGAAATAGCTTTTTATGTTGCAGTGAATAAATGTTGTTTTATATTGGGCAGCTGCTGAATGCGTTGAAGCCAGGAGGAAGACTGGTCTTACCCGTGGGTCCAGAAGGTGGAAGTCAGCATTTGGAGCAGTATGACAAGGATAGTGATGGAAACATCACAAAAGTTCGCTTAATGGGTGTGATGTATGTCCCTCTAACAGACAAAAAGAGACAATGGCCACTGTAAGAATTTATATGCATTTCTACAAACATACAATGTTGTAACTTTTAGCAAAAAATCTTTATTGTTCTGACCGATCTTTAATGGGAAAAACTGAAATTTAATTGCCATTAACTCCATATTATTTCTCTTTGCACTTATTGAAAAATACATAAAGGAGGAGATATATATATATCACACACACACACACCCACACACACACACACACACACACACACACACACACACTGAGTGGCCTGTTTATTATGACCACCTGACGTTTGTAGGCGAATTAGCTATAATGACAGAAGTGATTTTTTTCTGAAGATCTGGGTAAACAACGCGATTTAACAGCCTTTGAACATGGTATGATTGTTTGCGCGAGCCATGAAGCGAGTATCAGCAAAACAGCAGAATTTGTTAAATGTTCAAGAGGGGCTCATTGTTAAAGTGTTTAAAGACTGGACTGTCAGCCGAAAATCTGGGTCTGAACGTGCGAATTGTGGCCGTCAGCGACTAGTCAATGTTAGGGCAGAATGGAGGGTGGCAAGACTGGCACAAGACAACAGAAGGGCAACAGTGCAGTGTCAGATTCCTCGCATCACCTTTCAACATCTTGTGGAGTCACGAGGCGGCCCAACTAAGTCATCTCGTGGAGTCACGAGGCGGCCCAACGAAGTACTGATGGGGTGGTCATAATAATCTGGCCACTCAGTGTATATATTTTATTTATAAATATATATACTCAATATTTGAAAATAAATTGTATGCTTTAATTTTTTTCTGGAGAAATATCGTCAGCTTCTCCAAATTATGAATTAAAAGAGTTTACTTTGTTTATCTTGCTGAGTTCTTATTGATTCTAATAGGGCACATTTTCAAAGTACTCCCATATGTTTTGTCTGTATTATATTATTTAGTGTTCTGCTTCTTTTGCTCTTTTTATGATAAGTGAATCATAGACAATACATTAGGAAAAAAAATAGCTTGCCCACAGTCAGATCCCCAGCTGTTATTCTTCCAGTGCAGGTTCAAGTAATGAAAGTTATTGTATTGGACCTTCATGATCAATTTGCCTTTTTCATATTCCCCATTTTCCCATCAAATACCAAATAATACTGATAACATTACTAAGTACAAATAGAAGAAATATGTTTTCAGCTGCCTCTTTTTATATCAACAGTTAGACCTTTAGAGAATTGTGCTGTGTGTATACATAGCACATTATCTAAATGTTTAGCACTCTTCCCTTTGCAGTGTTGTTTTTTTTGTTTGATCCCCACTAGACCGTTCTGTGATAAGAATATGTATATTCTTCCTGTGTCTATTTAGTTTTTTTTTTCCAAAATTGTTGGGCTAATTGGTATTACATTTAATTTGGTTTCATTGTGTGTATTTCAGTAATGAGTGACAGAAATTGCAGCTTTTTAAGCTCCTTTTTTGAGCAGAACATGGGTTTGGTTCTGTATAAATATGTAATATGTTGTCACCAATGCTGGAAATTAACTCATTTTTATAAAGTTACACATTTTAAGTTATTAGTCATCTTAAAAATGTTTTTCCTTCTTATAGGAATGAGCTTTGAAAATTTTCTTGGTGACCTTCAGGATAACAAGTTGATGAAAAGAGTAGTTTTCACATGTGGTTTCAAGATGGCACAAAGCTATATCCCAGGAGGCAACACTAAAGCCCTTGCTAAGAAACACAGCAGAGTCAAAGAATGTGAAGGGCTGCACAATTTCCACATCTATAAATCTGTCTATTCAGGGGATACAACCCAAGGCACTGATAAATGTAAGAATTAAATAAATCAGCAATTTAAAAATAGAAATAACCCAAACCAAAGATGGTCACCTTGACTAAGCTGTGTATGTTTTATATAAATTCATAGTATGAGTAGATGACATGCAGAGTATAAACCATTCATAAATTGAAGTAGTTTTATTGTCAACGGGCATTTGTTTACTTCAGAACTGATTTTCACCCCATTCAAGTCTATGGGAATGTTAAAAGCGGCTTGAAGAAGGTCGCATGCAGGTGAATTCTGAATGATCTTAGACTCATCTCAAACTGACTTCAAAAGCATGCTGCATTTGCCCTTTGAAGGCCCTTAAACAACTAAATGGGCAGCATGACAGCAAGGCATCTTTCATTTTTACGTCAGCAATTCAGTTCATATTTTCTTATAAAAATTTTACAGCAGTTAATGATGTACATATTGCCTAATACAAATGCAGCATCTTCCGGCTTTACTGAGAACTCTTGTTAGGTTTTTACATTTGTTTTAGCTTTGCAGGTATGGTAGATGTGTACGGACAATAGCTTGCAACCTCAGATAGGACCTTAGGGATTTGTAGGGTCCAAAAAATGCTATAAAAGAATAACATTCTTTAAGGTGTGTGAACAGTGGGAAAGTTCTTGTGGTTCCACAGTGTATATGTAGCGTTATTGGTGCCATGCTTTCACAAAGGTTGAGAAATACTATACCAGCTTGTGTGTAAAGTTATAGAAATGCCCGGGAGCCTCAATGTGATTATGCCGCTGCTTATGTTATCCCACCTTACCCATCACTGCATTGTGTAATTTACAGTGTTAATCCTGACATATAGGTTAGACAGACAGAGAACAATTTATTGAAACCTTACTTTATCAGTTCTATGCAATAAAGATTCTTTAGTGCTTCCTTCATATTTAATCTGTAGAGCAATTAAAATTTTTCTCACTGTAATTATAATTTTGTGATCTATTCCTGTTTTTAAAAAAAATGGGCTAAAATTGTGCACATCTTTAAACTACAGGAACTAAGAAATAACACTGGTCTGTGATTGCTTTTTATTCTCTGGTTTTTCTCTTACCTAGTAATCGGGATTCTTTTTTGGACATTTTTTAAGTATCAGCCAAGCCTAGATCTAAAACAAGTTCTAGTAAAAGTATGGAAGAGTAAGAATCTCTGTCAAAAGTGTTTTGCTGTGTTTGTCCCATTTAAGGAACTTTTTCCTCACTTCCTGTATTAGTCGCTCCAGCTATCAGGGCAAAGACATTAGTGGAGAGTAGAGGTAAAAAAAAAAAAAAACATGACAGATTATTATAACTAGGGATGTCCAGATACCACTTTTTCAAGACCAAGTACTTCCCCTCATGTACTTGCCGATACCAATTACCAATGCTTTTTTTTTAGAGCGACAGCTGACTTTAAATGATCCATAGTACAACCACATGTTAAATCATGGATCATGATTTAACCTATTCATGTTAGCAGGGGAGAATTGTAACTCTATTGCTGTAATGTTGTGGAGGTGTGTGGTGTATATATGTACTGCATATACAGTACACGCGTCCAGAACACTATAGCAATAGATTTACAGCCAGCCCTGTTCCAGCTTCCGTCACTCACAGTTTCACTCCGATCCCTGTTGCCTCACGCGATGCCTCTTGTAGTCAGCGCTGGGCAGGATCGCTGCATCACGTCTTGGTGCTCAGCTTGTGGGAGGTGCTCACAATTCTACCCTGCTAACATGAATAGGTTAAATCATGATCCATAGTACATATACAGCACACGTCCAGTACACTGCAGTATTAGAGTTACAATTATCCCCTGCTAACATGAATAGGTTAAATCATGATCCATAGTACATAATATGTATGCAACATGTAGTTGTACTATGGAGCATTTAACCTATTCATGTTAGCAGGGGATAATTGTAACTCTATTACTGCCGTGTACTGGACGTGTGCTGTATATGTACTATGGATCATGATTTAACCTATTCATGTAAGCAGGGGATAATTGTAACTCTATTACTGCCGTGTACTGGACGTGTGCTGTATATGTACTATGGATCATGATTTAACCTATTACTCTATATGAAGTACATGTACCGTGCACATTACAAATACAATGCACCTCCCATTTCAGCACAGGCCCTCACTTACTGGAGGTGCCGAATTCTGCACTGAGCGGAGGAGCGTTGCGTCACTGCTGTGGGCCGCACTCCAGGTGGGGTCCTCTGGGCAGTCGCCGGCCACCTACGTTAGGACCCCACCTGGAGCGCCGCCCACAGCAGTGACGCGACGTTCAGCGCCGACGACGTCCTCACTTGTGAGGAAAAGCATTCGGCACCTCCATGAGGCACCACGTAAGGTACAGAAAAATAAAAAAAAGAGCACAAACATTGGTGCTATGCATCGGGGCATTTTGACAAGTACTTGTCAAAATGCCCTGTATCGGTCCCAATACCGATGCTAGCTTCGGTATCGGGACATCCCTAATTATAACCCTTCCCACACTGTCTCTGTCCAAAGCTAAAAGTTTATTTGGTTTTAGTTTACCTGAACCAAATTGAACTGTCCATTGGAGTTGGAAAGGATGGACGGGACTACTGAGTTATGAATTTGTAGGGTTTTAAACTGAAGCTGACTAGTAGATTTCAGGACCTTCCATCACGTCCAGCATAATGCTGGGCACACATTAAAATCTGATCGTATGTTATATTTAGCACCTTCCGCATTCCTGTTTAATGCCAATCACATATTACAATCTTATTTGTATAATCTTCTTTACATTATTTACTAATAACTATGTAGGACCAACCTAACTGGATACAAGGGCCTTACACCTGCACCATTTTGTTTCCACCACCGCGCACCACAGCGGGGGAATATCATGCTTTGTGGTGCACCACAACTCGGGTACATTGGGAGATGTGTTGCATTAGTGTGTTGGGATGCCATTCAGAAAGAATGGCACCCCAAAATGAATAGGCCCATAGTATGTGCATTATGATAACACAAATTAAAATGCTTGGTTGGGTAGTGGTTCACACTGTTGCTTTCATTTAAGTGGGTTGCTTAAAGAAGATCCAGGTAAAAGTTTTATTAACCCTTGCAGTGGGGCTACCCCCATACTGCAAGAGTTAACTGGTCATTTGGATTCTTAGACCACTGCAGAGGATGCGGAGAGAGGCTCTAGGGACCCTGTCTAAGAACAAGCCTGCTGGAATGATTGGGTAAATATAACTTTTTTTTTTTGGTAGCACTTAAAAGCAAATGGGCAGTTAACCCTTCTGTTAACTGCAAGGGTTAATAAAAGTTGTCCCGGAGTTCTGCTATAATGCACCAAAGTGCGTGTGCTGTTGTTTTTTTTTTTTGTGTAAAGCAGGGCACCATAACACATGGTAGTGTGTCACCTTGCATTGTGGTGTGCTGCAATGCAGGTGTCGTGGTAAGGTTTGCTCACGTTACTTTAACCCCCTTCGTGACGGGAGACGTACACTGTACGTCCCGCCACAAAGGGACCAAGGTACACTGTACGTGACGAGTTATTTGCTGCATTAGAGGGCTGGTAACCGCTGAGAATCAGCGGTTACCATTCATTAATGGATGCCTCAGTATAGAGGCATTCATTAATGAAAGGGTTAACCTTTTTCAGACACCCGGTATTTTAATATCGGGTGTCAGAGTCAAAGCAGAGCCGCAAACATGCCGGCAAAAGCTGGCATTCTGACAGCTCCTATAAATCTAGAGATATCTCTCTCAAAACGTATACTGGCTTTTTTTTTTTTTCTTTCACTTTCAGGAATAGATACATAATGTATCCCTGAAAGAAGAATGTTTCAGTTTTCTGATCGTTGTTGGATAGTTCAAGAAAACCTTTAATTAGTGACAGCTGAATCCTGAACTGCTGCAGGATCAGTGTCGCTAGCTTATTATTGGCTGTTCTGAAGTTTGCAACCGCCTGATAATAACCAAAAATGTATTTATCAAGCAGTAATAGTGAGATTAATTCACAATGACTGCTTGATGGAATTAAATAAAATAAAAATTTTAAAAGTTTAAAAAAAAATAGTGAAAAGTGTAAAAAAAATAATAGTGAAAAGTGTAAAAAAATAAAGGACAAATGAATGTATTTATTGCATTTTTTTTTTTTTTAGCATCACACAGCAAAAATGTCAAAAGTGTGTCAGTCATTTACGAACAGAAACTAAAAACAAGCTCAGTCATGAAGGGGTTAAAGTACGCGTGAATGCGTGACAACCACGTGAAACCTGCTTAAAAGTTGTTAATGCGCACAGATCTATTCTAATTTGGATTGTTGCTTTATGTCTTTGTTTCACTGATTTCAGAATGGTGCTAATTTCTGAGGGTGCATTCACAAGCACCTTTAGGAATTGGCACCCTGGATTTTAAAATATGCATTTTGCATTCACATTTAAGCATTTTGAAAACTTTTAAATGTTGCATTCATACTTTTGAATGAAAGTGCATTGTGTGTATTGGATGCATTTTAAAGCATTGGAAGGAAGTTATGTTTCCTGACACCATTTTTCAATAACGCACATGAAATGTGAGTAATGTATAGTTATATGTAAAACACATTTCAATACAAGGACAAAAATCACATTTGCAATGATATAAACAACATTTCCTAAAATGTTCCTAGCTGTAAATTATTTGTCTGTAAAATAAAAAATGTGTTTTCATTAAGTTCTAACAGAGTTTTAGGAATTAAAGACAATTTCTTAGTATTCAAAGATATCCTTAATGCTATGTAAAACACAGCGGTCATAGTACTGTTTCGCAGGTCACCTTGCAGTTAAAGAATTTACAAATGAACCTTTGCGGTGGGGCTACCCTCCCACTGCACGCGTTATGTACTTGTTTTGGTCTAGGCTAGGGTCTAAAATGAAAAAGATACTTACCCTATCCTTGATCCTGCAGAGTTCTTCTTTAATGCTAGTGCGCCTCTTGTGACAGTGTGGAGCCAAGATTACTGTGATGGTTGCACACCCAGGGCCCGTAAACTTTTTTTTTTTTTTTCGGTCTGCACTGATTCTCCATGGGTTTTGGCATACACAGGCAGAGAATGTATCACAATAGATTAGAATTCATTTAATTTTCAGAGGGTTGCATGGTCTCAATGCACATC